CTGGGCAATCTGGAGGGCTGCCCTGAGGCTGGATAGGTGCGGGCGCTCAGCCGATGGATGAGGGACAGTGGCTTCTCGTTGGGCCCTGGGCGTTGGCATGTGCTGCCCTATTCACAGATGAGCCCAGGTGCAAGGACCACCAGTCGCTGGTTCCTTGAGGACAAAGCCGGTCTCTTGCTGCTCTCCCTCCCGCTCTGCCGAACGCGCAGGCTCCGGAACAGCACCTAGCACTGGTCAGCAGAGCCTCACTCCGAGAGCTCCCAGGTCCTGACTCTGCTGTTGGCTTGCTGTGGGGTCCTGGGCCAGGCCCTGCCCTCTCAGGGCCTCAGTTTCCTTATCTGTCACAATACCATTAATAAGAGCCCACGTTTATTGAAACTGTCTTTTCAACGCCTTTTAAACTTGATGAAGCAGGTATTATGACTATCTCCATTTTACAGGTAAGGCACAGAGAAGCTGAGTGACTTGCTCAAGGTCACGACCTAGTCCACGGTAGAGCCGGGGTTCCAGCCTAGGCCGCTGGGCCTGAAGCCCCCTTGTGAGCCTCTGTTGCTTCCTACAATGATGGGGACAATGTGACGTTTTCTCTCACTCTGGTGCCTTCCACCAAGGCTGAGGCCAGCCCACAGGGGGCGGCTGGTGAGGCTTCAGAACAGAGCCCTGCACAACAGCCTCTTGCACGGAGGGCCAGGGGTATCGCAAACCCAAGACTGCTGGCAGCCAGTGCGGCCCAGTGCCAGTGCTGGGCGCTCGGAGTAGCAATACTTCACCAGGTGGAGGAGACCGCGTCGTGAGCATCTCTGCTGCTCAGATGAGAAAACCAAAGCCCCAGAATCCCCAGAGCGTTTCCCTAAACTCATGACTGTATAGCATCTCTCAGCACCCCTGAGCAGCACTTGATCCCCTTTCCAGACTGAAAGCTGCACAGGGGACCATGCCTCAGATGCTAGGGACTAGCAGAGCACCTGGCACACGAATGAATGAATGAATGAATGAATAAGCGAGCAGATAAATACAAGTGACCTGCAATCACGTGGCTAGTAAGACTGAGGCCTTCCAGAGCGCTGGATGGATTCTGGTCAGACTGAAAGAAAGAATTGTTCATTGAGAGACAAGGAGAAAGTTCCTCCAGGAGGCCACATCTTCCTACGGCATCGATCCGTCAGAAGCTACAGACGAGGACAGCAGCGTGGGAGAGGGAGGGAGCCTGAAGGTGCTACCTTCTGGGTATACCAGGCACAAGGCCGTGATGGGGGCAGCGGGCAGGCCCCTGGGGCTGTGGCCAGAGGCAGGATTGTAGGCACTTATCCAGCTGGGCTGAGTGGGAGGTGGGTGGGGCTATCACGGGGCTAGAACCAGTGCAGGGAAGTGCTGAGCAGAGGGAAACTGGCCAGATCCCAGCGTCTCTCCTTCCCTCCCGCCAAGTGTGGGCACAGAGGAGCAGCCTGTGTGAGTCCCACAAATCAAGCCTGTGTTCTCAAGACCTGAGGAAGCTCCCACATCAGTCACCACTCCTAGGACAGGTGCTGCCCTTGATAGTGACAGAGCATTTACCCGCTAATGGGGAAAATTTGACAGCTAGGCCCATTTTACAGCTGAAAACATCCGAGGAGGCCAGAGTGACTGGCAGAGTGCGTGGTGAACTGGAGCTGAGAGACTAAGCCTCCCAAGCCCAGCCCAGGTCACAGCCACACCCTGGGCTGGGGTGTGCACTGGCGCCTAGGAAGCAGGGCCCTCAGAAGGGCTGAGCCCTGTGTTTTTCAGTCAGGAGCCTGGACTGACCTGGGTCAACCCCTCTCACGCATCTGGTTCCAATCTAATCAAAACCAGCCTGTGTGCTTTTCTCCCTGTTCAGGGGTAGGCTCCAAAGAGCTGGACAGGCATTAGGCAGAGTCAGGTGATAGGAGGAATCTAATTTGCCAAATGGCTCGCGATCCATCAGCCCTCCCAGGAGCTATGGGAATCAGAGGCCACTTGTGTGGAAAACAAGCTCAGTCTTAGCTCCTCTGACGTGCTCTCACTGCGAGCTGTGACAATCATTATTGCAGTTGACACTAATGGTGGGCAACTGTCACAACAGACTGAGGCTCAGGGAGGCAGACAACCTGCCTAGTCCCCCGGTCCCTGTCTCCCCACGGGCATTCAGGGGCAGCTGGCCTGTGTGCTGTGTGCGTGCTCTGCCCTCTTCGAGTCTTCCACACAGCTGTGGAAACCCTGGGAATGCTGCAGCTTGTCCTTCAAGAGTGATCCAATAAGTTATCTGTTGTTTTTTAGATAGCAGAGGCCACACAAAGACCCTAAGGATGGCTTCTCTGGCCAACATGCTGGTCAATGCAGACTGGGACTGAGGCCCCCAAATCCATATTCTGGTTAAACCGGGATTCCTGGCTTCCTTAAAAATCAGGATCTGGCCACCTGGGGCATCTGGGTGGAGTGAGCCATGTGTGCCCAGGGTCCCACCCAACACCAGCCACTGCACAATTTATGCGATACCAGCCCCTGGAAGTTTCGGTGCTCCCCCGGCTGTCCGCCCTCTTCCCTAAGCATGACTTCCACCTCTGCTTAACCAGCTTTCCCACAGCTGAAATCCAAACTCCTGCCATGGCCCACCAGGCCCCACATCGTCCAGCCCCAGCCCCAGCCCCCTCACTCTGGGCTCCTCCTGCTTTGCATGCCCTGCTTCTCCATCCTGCCCTTTGTTCTGCTTTTCACGTGCTCATTCCCAACCCGGGGCCTTTGCACACCCCTGGCCTGGCACACTCCCCACAAGTTTCCCACCTGACTTTCTCATTAGGTCTAGCACTGTCTGCTCCACCACCCATTTCTTTCCTCATGCACCGCATCACCTCCCGAGGAGCGAGCCCCGTAGCTAGTGCTCCTGGCTTGGATCCCGGCTCTGCCTCTTCCCCAACTTGACTGGGCTTTGGCTTCCTCAGCGTCGCAATCCAGCCCTGCTGAGCAGTGGCGAGGGTGGAGTGAGCTGGTCTTTGGGCAGCGCTCAGGGCCGTGTCCTGCTCAGGGTAAGTGTGTGGCTCCAGCAGCAGCTGCCGTCCCTGCCCTCACATCATCCCCTCCCAAACCCTGGTCCTCAGCACAGCAGGTGCTGACAGGCCAAACCTGTAACACACAGGCCGTAGCTGTGGGTGTGACCTTCCCGCAGCACACCCTCCTTTCAACCAGGGGCCCTGCTGGGGAGAAAGCCGCACGTCAAAGGAACAGAGCACACACACCCTGGCCTGGGACTTCACGGCCTGCTCCGAGCAGTCACTCTGTGAAATCCCCTCCCTTGATGAAAGCAGGTGCCCCTCCTCGCACTTGCTCACTCTGTCCGCAGAAATCTGCTTCTTATACAACCTGCTGGGCTCAGAGTCCTGGTTTACAGGGTTTGCCTCCATGGTGGGCAGCTTGGCCCCACAGCCCACCACTGGGAGGTCTTAGAAGACACAAAATGAACCCCTGATGCCTGGGAGAGTCACCTGGGTGGAGTATGGACAACATGACAGCAGAAAGTGCCAGGCGCCATGGAGCTTGGACTCTGTCCTTCCAGGGACACCACGGAGCCGTGATGAGCAGGCCTGTCTTTGAGGCAACAAACACTAAACATTCTAGGGAGCCTGTTTGAGCATTTCCGCTTTATTAGCCTGAGGACTTTTAAAATGTTTTGCTTTCACTTTCTCAGGAACTGTTTTCTAATGAAGCTCATGCCTGCGCCAGCAGAGTTGCACCTCACAGCCTCCTGCCTGCTCACAGGAGGCTGGCACCTCATCCCAGGGTCCTGCCCCATCTCCAAACACCGGCCAGGTAACACCTTGTCCCCGTTTTGCGGGCGAGGAAGCTGGGGTGCAGTCAGTGGAGCCGCCCAAGGGAAGGCTTCCAGCGTGGGAGGGGAGGAGCTGGATTCACACAGGGTCCAACTGGCCTGGAATGCAGTGCGTGCCCTTTGGCTCCCCACCTCTCAGTGTGGACCCTCTCTGCACCTTCTGCGGGGACTGTGCGCTAGAGAGACACAACCTCTCCAGGAACGCCCACAAGCCTCCAGCGCCTCCTTGTCAAGGGTCAGGAATGGGGGCGTGCTCGAGCTGGGGCAGTCCTGGTCTTCTTTATCTCTTGCCTTGATAGCTCACGACAGCCAGGCCCCGGGAGCCTCAGCTCCTGCCTCTGCCCTCACAGCCCACTCTGCTGCAGCACCCAGCCCTTCCTCAAGATGCCTAACCTTGCATACCTTAAGCAAGAGATGCCCTGCACCTTTCCAAATGCTGTTCTTTGCCTGGAAGCCTCTCTCCACCAAGCACACGTGTCCCAGCTTTCTGGCCAGCTCTGCCACCACCTCAGAGGCCGGCTGCCCTGAGCTCAAACTCCAGGATCTGACCACTGAGGCCCCAACACCATGTGCCTTTGCCTGCTGGGCTTGGCTGGCAGCCAGGCTCCACTTCAGCCTGGGTCTGCCATCTAGTGCTCCAGCTGGTGGGGTGTCTTTTTGGGGCCCTCTGCACCTCCCCAGGCTGACCTGCCACCCCGCCTGGCCTCTAAAAGACAGGCTCCTGACCACAAGGACCCTCTCTGGGCGGGAAACCCAATGAACATTCTGCAGGGAGGCGCTGGTGCTGACAGGCTCACAAAGACGGAGAAGCTGGCACACAGCCTAGGTAGCCTCAAGCCCCCTTTAGAGAAGGATCCTGCGGAGAATGGTGCCCACTCTTCCCAGCCACAGTCAGCCCCAACCCAGAAAGGAAAACAGCTCCTCTGGTCACACGTACCATTTGCGGCCCCACATATAAACACAAGAAACACCCGCAGCCCTAGCGTGGCCAGCAGAGGGAAGGAGCTGGAAGGAGGCCCACGCAGAACCAATGCCAGATGTGCAAAACAGCCATTCAGACTACCACCCACATCCCCTGCCTTGGCCTTGAGGGCCCTGGAATCGAGATGTGGAGAAGGGGACTCTGGGGCTGCCCATCTTGAAGGGAGGGGCACGCCTGCTCAGCACAGGCCGTACTCACCGTTGGAGCGGTGGATGCAGGTATGCTGGTTGTCACTAAGGAAGAAGCCACTATGGCACTGACACTCATAGCTGCCCATGGTGTTGACGCAGATCTGCTGGCAGCCACCATTATTGTCCTGACACTCGTCCACATCTGTGAGAAGAGGAAAACAAGGGGACCTGAGTTGGAAGCAGGGGATGATGGGCTGGCAGGACCAGGAGGCAGTGAATTTCCTCACATGGCCCTGAAGGGAGGGACTCCGGAGAGGGCCTCCCTGGTGCTGTATTCTGGTGACACAGGAGTAGCCTTCACAGCCCTGCACCACGGTGGTACCCTACTGTGGGCCCCGTGGCAATGTAATGTGGTGGCACTCTACAGTGGGCCTCCATGGTGAGGCACCACGGTGGCACTCTACAGTGGGCCTCCATGGTGAGGCACCACGGTGGCACTCTACAGTGGGCCTCCATGGTGAGGCACCACGGTGGTACTCTACAGTGGGCTGCCATTGTGCTATGCTATGTACAGTAGGCTGTATGGCGCTGGGCTACAGTGGTAGGGTGGGACTCTATGGTGATGCTGCACAGTGGTACTCCCGAAAGCTACTCATGGAAATAGTTCAATGGCTATGATGCTAGCTCACTCCGACTGCATAGTACTGTCTGTGTGCTCAGCACTGTTCTAAGCATCTTACCTGTATTAATTCCTTTAATTCTCACAGCAACCCTGTAAATCAGATCCAGGTGCCAGTGCATTTTATAGAGGAGGAAACTTAGGTGTGGAGAGGCAGAGTCATTTGTCCACAGTGCTACACATGGTAAGTGGCAGAGGCAGGATTCAAACCTGGTGATCTGACCCTGAAACCTCGGCTCTCACTGACATCGCCAGATGTCAGTGAGAGGAGGGCTCTAGGAAGACAGAGCAGCCTGCAGCGGCTGTCCCAACACCGGGAGCTCTGCAGCTCCACCCCACAAGCCCCTCTTTCTTGACCTAGCTCAGGGTTACCAGCAGCAGCACAACATGACTGTGGGCTGGAGCACAGGGCCACGCCTGAGGCTCTGTGCCCTGCAACTGATTTCAAAAGTCCCCGAGAATGAGGTTTTTATTAAGAAAAGGCCCTGACCTCTGGCTGCCGAGACGGCTGCAGAAGGCTGCCAAGCGGTCTTTCCCAGTCTCGGGGAGAGGCCGATCTCAGGGCCGACACTCGTTTCTGACCAGAGGCCGCTAGCACAAAGGGTGCTCTTGGCTGAGAAGAGTCTTTATGGAGTTCTGGTCTTGAACAGAGCAGCATGTTTCAATTACCAGAGTCATAACCCCCTACTCTGTCACTTTGTTTAATGAAAGAAGGGCTTCTTAAACCTTAATGTTCCATGTCTGTATTGTCATTTTAATAGGCAAATATATAAAACCACAAAGGCAGCGTGAGCTACTGACTGCTTTTAGCCAGTCCCTGGCCTCCAACACGTGCGCACACGCGCACACGCACACACACACACACACACACACTCTTTGGTGTTGAGCTTTTGATACATTTCTTTTGAACACAGACATATTTTACTGTTGGAACCAAAAGGATGTGAAAAGGTAGAGAGCTGGTGACCTGCACTGAACCAGGAGAGGACTCAGCTGTGGAGCGATGTGAGCTGGATCCTATTTAGACTCATGGGCAACAGACCACTTTACCACCTAAGAGACGGCGCGGCTGCCTTTGAGGCCGACAGCGAGGCCATTATTCTTTGGCAAGCTCAAATGTCAGCTGCGTGGGCAGCCAGAGGAGGCAGGCAGAGCTCTGAACTCTAAAAGCCACCTGCGGTTACAGCTAACCTGGTAGTGGTGGCCCTTGCTGAGGGGAGCCATGTGATCGCACCATGACCCAACCCGACAGTGTGACTGGGGGATGCCTGGGGAGGAGGGATAGGGACTATTCTCAGCACCTTTCCGCATTCAACAAAGCCTTGCTTAGGGCTCCCTAGGGGCCCAGTGCCAATGCCACCTTTGCTGGGGGCAGCCCCAAGGTGTGGCAAGTGGTCGCCTCCCTCCCCTCCACATCTCAGCCATGTCTGCCCCTGGGGTCTGTCTCCAGCCTGCCCTGGACCATGAAAAGCACCGAGCCAGGCAGGCTGTGTCCTACTCATCCTGTTAATAACACAAAGCAAACAGCCCTTGAGTGTTTGTGATGTGTCAGGCGCAGGCTCATGTGATCCTCACGGCTTCCTGTGTGATAGGTCACGTTATTGATCCCATTTTACAGATGAGGACGCAGAGGCTCTGGGAGCTGAAGCAGCTGGAGTACAGTGACACAGCACATAAGAGTGAAGGCCGGACCCAGCCCTGCTGTCTAGCTGCAGAGCGCGTGCCTTTGGCCCCATGCTAAGCTGGCTGTGTCAGCGAGCGTGCTCAGACTAACGCGGAGAAGAGCCGGCTGCTCCTCACAACAACTAGAGTCCCGCGTCAGCTTGAGCACATGCAGGTCAACCCCAGACGCAGCTTGCCGTGAGGAGCATCGAGAAGGGCCCAGCATTCCTGGGGTGAGTCCCATCTCCGGGCCAATAAGACCCTGTAAAGGCCTGTGCTGGCACACACTTAACAGTGGGACCTGGACGTGGGTAGTGTCCCTGGGACTCAGTCCAGACCCGTCTCATGCCACGGTCATCGCCTTTCTTCCCATGGTTCTCAGATTCCTTGCTCTGTGCCTTGGCTTCCCCAGCCCTAGCAAAGGTTCAACTGTAAAGTAAGCAAAGCAGAAACAGACCCTCAAATGCTGAGTTTCTGGTGCAGAAGTGCTATCTCACCCCTGTCACGAGTAAGCTCCCTGGTGCCGCCCATCTGCAGCCGTCTGGCCTGGCCACTCCTCACCTCACTGAGAGCTTGAAGCAAAGGGCAGTTGACGTAAGGCATCTACAAACCCTCAGAGACCTGGCAGGGCGGCTGGGCCTTGGGCCAGGGCTGTTTACACTAGCAGGGAACAGTGACTCGCCAGTGCTGATGAATAATGGGGAACAAATGCAGGGCCATGTAAACATGTCTTGTCCCCACTCCCAAGTGATAAAGCCCTGAGATTAAGCAGGCGGGAAGACAGGGCTGCCCCTCTGCACACTTTTCCCACCGTGGGCCAAACAGGCCTCACCCCCGGCCCCTGAGGAGGGGAGGAAATCATGGCTGCCAAATCCCTTGGATGGCCTGAGGCCATGAACAGCATCTCTAGGGAAGGGCCTGAGGCCCCATGCATGGCCCCTGCACCCCTGTCTCCAGCACTACAAATGGGCCCCACGCTGAGATCTGAGGAGTGTCCAGCTGTGGCAGCTGGGCCTGTGAGATGCCGCCCATGAGCCCAGGACAGATGACGCTCACCTGAAGGCCCTGGCCAGGCCTGGCAGGGCACTGTGGGAAACGGTCCTTCCGCCCTCTCCAAGGGGTGCTGTGAGCCCAGCACACGCTGCCCCATGGTCCCCAGCACTCGGCATACCCCATTATGAGAGGTTGGATGCATCCCCTCATGGCAAGAGGCTCCCTGAACTCTGTCCCTGTACCGAGAGCGGCTCGGCTGTAGGGACCCTCACCCAGGCGGCACTGAAGGTATTGAGAAGCAGACACCCAGACAGAGCAGCAAAGTGGGTCTATCCGGGGGCTAACAGCCTTCCGAGCCGAGAGCCTCAGGGGCTAACGCATTGCGGGCTGAAGGCCTCCAGCAGACGCTGACCCACGTAGCGATTCTCTCTGCACAGGTGTTAGGTCTTGTCTTATAACACAAAATATGCCAAGTAGGCAGCAGGTGCCCCCTTACCGCTGATCACAAACTAAAAAGCATTCTCCACGAGACAGCCACGGGGGCAGGGTCAGCTGTCTTAAAGAATTGTTTTAACCGGTGTGTGACGTTTACGCCTTGTCCTGCCTCTTTGGAATAGCAGTTTCCTACTTGGTGGGGGGAGCTAGGTTTTCCTTGCCATCGTTCTTCCTAGCAAACAATATATTGTATCAGACACTCAACATTTCTCAATATTCATAAACTTAACATTTCTCAACACCCCTGTCTTGCCCTGTGGTCTGTGGGGGATGCCCAGGCCTTATCCCTGGGAAGAGCTCCCAGAGCTTCAGGCTGCAGGCTATGTCCTCTGGAGGGGCTCCTGGAGTGCCGGTGGTGTGGGCAGCCCTCCTCCGTCTCTGCCCCGTGGAACTGACTGTCAGTGCATGGATGTGTCCTCGGTGGCTGGCCCCATGTGAGAATCCTGCCCCGACCCATCCTGAACACAGAGGGGAGCACAGAGGCTGGGCGGGGTTAACAGCCTCACCACTGTAAATAGCGGCACCTGCTTCCAGTGAGATCCAGCTCAGGCCCGATCTTCATCAATCCGCACAACGGCTCCTCCCCCGGGGCATTATTCTTACCATCCCTGATTCTCAGATGAGAAAACGGAGGCCTGGAGAGGGGGAGAGACTTCCCCAAAGCTCTAAAAGAGGCAGGAGGAGGACTGGAAGCCCCATGAGCCCAAAGCCCTCACTCCCCTCCTCCAGGGTTCAGCTGTGAATGAGGCCCCTTCAAGCCGTGATGGTGGTGAGACTAAGGTACCCAGATGCTGATGCTCACTAGCCTCCCTGGATGCCACATGCCCACCTCTCCAAAATCCAGTGCTTAGCCGCCTCCTCTGTGGAGTCTTTCTGGCGCCCAGCATAATTCACCCCACCCCAGCTTCCAGGCCGGGCCTGCCTTTCTTCGCTAATTCCTTCCTCTGCCTTGGACCAGAGGGCTTGGTGGTCCTGTCCCTGGTCCGGGGTGAGAACAGGGCCAAGTCTTTTTCATATCCCTGCTCTGAGCAGTGGAGCAGGCCAAGAGTGAGTGCTCGCGTCAGGAGGGTGAACGTGAAGGCACAGTTTGTGCTTGCACATGCCAGGGCCGGGGAGCTCACTACCACCAGGGGGCTGTCCCGGGGCAGAGTGCTGTCCTGGTTCCCGCTGGGCAGGACGGGGTTCCTTCAAGGCTCTCACAGCCTGCCCACTTCTCCAGCCACTCTCCAGGAGTCCCGTGCTGCTGCTCTCTGAAAACACCCACCCATTCACCTCTGCCTGGGTGCGGATACCACCCTCCTCCCAGAACAGCCTCCCCTCCTTGACCAGACTGAAGTTTTTCTTGCCTTTTGAATCCACCTGAAACATCTCTG